AATAATTGATTTTTTGTCTTTCTTCTTTTCTCATATATGCTTATAATGCTATAAATTTCATTCTAAGCATTGTTTAGTTGAATTTTACTTCATTCTCATTCAGTTAAGCATTTGCTGCTTTTATTGTGATTTCTTTTTGTCTCGTGACTTTTTGGAAAGTATATTGCTTTCCAAAGTATTTAGGAAAGTTTATTTCCAGTCACATAAGGATTTTCTATTACCATTTTATTGTTTATTTCAGTTTATCTCCATTCTGAACAGAATAAATCTTCTGATTTTTTTTTTCATTCTTTGAAATTAGTTTAAAGTTTTTCCTTATGGTAACCATATAGTCAATTTTTGTAAATGCTTCAAATGTATATGAATTCTGTCATTGGTCAGTGCACTGTTTTGTATTTGTCAGTTAGATCCAAGTATGTTAATTATGTTTATATCTTTTGTATTCTTATTGACTATTTGTCTGATTTTTCTATCAACCAATTAAGAGGTGTATTAACATCTTCCTCTATGATGATGAATATGTTACTTCTTCTTTTAGTCCTGTTAACTTGGATTCCTGGTATGGTGCTGTAGTATAAGCACCAGCTGCTCTTTAGAAACCCTATACAGGGTAGCTATAAGTCAGAACTGACTAAGCGGTGCTTAACAACAACAACAATTTTTTGCTTCAGTGTTTTGAAATAATGTTACTGGGTTGATGTTGTTAGGTGCCATTCAGTTGGCTCAACAGAATGAAATACTGCCTAGTCCTACACCAACCTCACAGTATTTGCTATGCTTGCGCCTATTGCTCCTGCCACTATGCCTGTCCATCTCTTTGGGGGTCTTCCTCTTTTTCTCTGGCCCTCCACTTTACCAAGTATGATTTCCTTTCCCAGGGAGTGGTCCCTCCTGATAATATGTCCAAAGTATGAGAGACGAAGTTTGGTCATCCTAGCTGTACTTCTTCCAACACAGATTTTGTTTTTGTTTTGTTTTGTTTTGCAGTCCATAGTTCTTTTAATATTCCCGTCCAACATAACAACTCAAATGGATCGATTCTTCTATGGTCTTCCTTCTTCACGGTCCGTATATGAGGTTATTGAAAATGCAATGGCTTGGATCAGGCATACCTTAGTACTCAAACTCACATCTTTGCTCTTCAGCACTTGTACAGCAGATTTACCTAATGCAATATACGTCATTTAATTTCTTGACTGCTGCTTCCATGAGTATTGATGCAAAATGAAGTCTTTGACAACTTCAAATTTTCCTCCATTTATCTTGATGTTATTTATTGGTCCGGTGGTGAAGAGTTTTGTTTTCTTTAAATTAAAGTATAACCCATAACAAAGGCTGTGGGTTTTGATCTTCATCAATATTTTAAGTCCTCTTCGCTTTCAGCAAGCAAGGTTATATCATCTGCATATTACAGGTTGTTAATGAGTCTTCCCTCAATCCTGATGCTATGTTCTTCTTCATATAATCCAGTTTATCAGATTATGTGCTCAGCATACAGACTGAATAAGTATAGTGGGAAAAAAAAACAAAAATCAACAACCTGGCACACAATTTTCTTAATTTTAAACCATTCAGTGTCCCCTTGTTCTGTTCACATGACTGTCTCTTGGTCTATGTACAGCACAAATAAGTGTTCCAGAATACTCATTCCCCACAATGTTGTCCATAGATTGCCATGACCCACACAACTGAAAGCCTTCCTATAATCAATAAAGCACAGATAAACATCTTTCTGGTATTTTCTGCTTTCAGCCAAGATCCATCTGACGTCACCACGTCCTTGTCTGAATCCGTCTAGAACCTATGGCAGTTCTCTGTCAATGTACTGTTGCAGCCATTTGTTAATTGTTTTCAGCAAAATTTTACTTGCATGCAATATTAATGGTATCGTCTGATATTTTCCGCATTCCACTGGGTTACCCTTCTTTGGAATGGGCACAAATATAGATATTCCAATCAGTTGTCCAGGCCTTCCCAATTTCTTGGCATAGATGAGTGAGTGCCTCTAGTACCGCATCAGTTTATTGAAATATTTCCATATTTATTCTATCAGTTTGTATAGCTTTGTTCTTTGCCAATGCCTTCAATGCACCTTGGGCTTCTTCCTTCAGTATCATTGGTTCTTGATCATATTTTACCTCTTGAAAAGGTTGAACATCGACCATTTCTTTTTGTTACAGTGACTCTGTGTATCCTTTACATCTTTGATGCTTTCTGCATCATTCAATATTTTGCCCATAGAATCATTCAATATTTTAAGTTGAGGCTTGAAATTTTTCAATGTAGGCTTGTTGATAACAAAATCTCTCACTTTTTATTTATCTGAAAAACATCTCTTTTTGTAACCTTCATTTCTGAATAATGTTTTCACAGTATATAAAGTTTGAATTTGCCGTTTTTATTTTTAGCTCTTTAAATATGTGATTCTATTGTTTTATTGGAACCTCAATGAAATGGATTAACATAGGGCTGCAACAATGGGCTCAAACATAGCAATGATCATGAAGGTGGCACAGGATTGGGCAGTGTTTCATTCTGTTGTACATAGGGTCTCTGTGATTTGAAACCAACTCGACAATACTTAACAACTACAATATATGACTTGTATCTAAGGTCAATAAATTGGTGGTAGTAAGGAGTCTTGGTGTGGCATTATTGGATAAAGCACTAGACCGCAATATCAGTTTGAACAGCAAGCTCAGTGGTACAAATTCACTCGCGGCTCCTCAGAAACCTTATACAGGGTCACTATGAGTTGGAAAAAACTTGATGACAGTTAATAACACCAACAACGAGGGAAAGATTAGAATACAACCTATAACCCCTAGTATTCTACCACTGCAGAACATAGGAACACTGAATGTTTTAAAATTTTAAAAAGGTGTGTGACAAGGTTGTATCCTTTCAGGTTACTTGTTCACCTAGCCCCTCACCTTAAGACATGTAAGTCATGTAAGTGAATTATTACATAGTCCAGTGAAAATATCCCAAGGTACTTTTTAAAAATTATGCTAAATATAATGATTATGTTAGAGTTTGGTAACCTATTTTTTAAATTTATTTCCAATAGGGGGAAAATCACTTTATAATCATACATTTTTAAGAAATATTTCTAAGATATGGTAGAATCTTAAAATACATGTGATTTAACTGTTTTTGAGTTACTTAGATTTACCTCAGAGTTAATAGTATCTCCTGGTTATTCGTTTCTACGAGGAGCCCTGATAGTATACTGGATAATGCATTAGGCTGCTAACTGCAAGGTCAGCAGTTGGAATATACCAGTCGCTTTGTGGGAGAAAGATGAGGCTTTCTGCTCCTGTAAAGATTTACTACCTTAGAAACCCTATATAGGGTGGCTATGAGTTGGAACAGGAGCTCAGTAGTGTAGTGGTTACAAATCGGGCTGCTAACCTCAAAGTCAGTCATTCAAAACTATCAGCTGCTCCTTGGGAGAAAGATGAGGCTTTCTGTTCCCATAAAGATTTACAGCCTCAGAAACCCTATACAGGGTCGCTATGAGTCGGAACCAACTCGATGACACATAACCACCACCACCACCATGAGTTGGAATGGACTTGACGGCTCACAACCACTACCACTAATTTCTAGAAATACCATCTTTTCATAATTTTAAAAGTTCAAAACTGCAACTCTAAAATATATATTAATTTGTGTTTTATAGCTAAATGAATGCATCTTCCCTTCATGAAAGCTACTTATTTTTAGTTCACTAATAGCTACCAGTCGCTCTTAGAAACCCTATTCAAGAGTGGCTGTGAGTCAGAACTGATTCAATGGCAAACAACAACAACTAACTAATGGAATGAAGAATACTATGTATGTGGTTATTGTTGTTTAATGCCTGCTCATAGAGACCCTATATAGGGTTTCCAATGCTTTTTTAAAAATCTGTGTTAGCAGAAAACCTCATCTTTTTCCCAAGGATCAGTGCTGGTGGGTTAGAACCACCAACTTTGTCCTTTTATAAAAATGTTAAGGTATATCACTGTATCACATGGCATTTCAATTTCAGTGTATATCTTAAGTTTTGGCAATATAACAATAGGAGAACTCACCCCTGAAATATACTAAAAGCCAATATGATATTTTTTTTTCCTTACAAAAACAGGCCTCTCCTTGGCTTCAAAACAATGTGCATCCCCTTTTCTCCATTCATTTCAGTTCAGTAAAAAATTATTGAGCACAGACCACCTGGAAATACAAAAATAAATAAAATTAAGTCTATACATTTAAAAAGCTTATATTCTGGTAGAGGAGATTGATTTATAAACTTGCAATTTTAATTCAGTGTCATAAATGCTATGATGGATATTTCCTTTGATGCTTATGACCACCTTACACAAGGAGCAGTTAACCATGACTACAGGTCAAGGGAAGCCTCTTATAGGAAATAATGTCTGAGCAAAATTTAAAAGGATAAATAAGTTAACCAGGCAAAGGTAAATAGGCATAGGGTTGTTTTAGACAGAAGGAAATGAATGAAGGTTTAAAGTGGCATGAGACTTACAGACAACTATGAACAATTGCTGAGGTAGTGAAAGTGAAAAAAGTGAGGAATGGTAAGAGATGAGGTTAGAGAAAAAGACTAGATTGTTTTTCAGCACATTTTAAAAAACAACATGGAAATATGGCAATTAAAATATTTTTTAAATTTCCATTATAGAGAATAAAAATGTATTTTATTTATAGCTGATACTTAATAAAGTTGAATGTTTTCATTAATAAAATACTCCTTAAAAGAAAATTTAAATATATTACAGAATTTGAATTATATTATAAATGAATATCTGCTCATAATCAAGATAATATTTTTCTTGAAGTTTAATGCATCCCTTTAAAATACTAAAACTCTATTTTTGTATGTGTTGCATTAGAATAAATTCTGAATGGAATCAATTAGCTGGAGTATTTTGTTGTTGTTTTCTTTTTTACCATTTGAATCTCTTTTTATAACTATTGGTTTTTCATCCTTGTAGAACTGCTGTTCCTCAGCCAGAAACTTCTTCACAAGCAAAAGGAAATAAACAAGGCACTGTTTCACGTATGTTCCTGTTGTTTATTATTGTTACTTATATATCCTTTATGGAACAATATTATGTGCACAGTACTGTTTATTTGATTATACAGTTTTGTGCCATTCCTACCACTAGTGTAAATTCTTTTATGTAGATAATTTTTGTTTTTTTTGTGTGTTCATTTATTTCAGTTTAGATTCTTGTCATAATTTCTGATCCCAACTGTAGCACAATCCAGTTATTATCCCAAAATTGAAAATAAATATGAACAAATGTATACTTAATTTGTTTCTTTTACAGTACATCCCTTCAAATATACTATTTTTAATTATGAGAAGAATAATGAAGTAATTTTAATTTTAATTGATGGCCAATACAAATATGAGCAAATAGTAAAAGATATTCTTTTACATACATAACCTGCATATTTTATGGGTTGTTTTCTTTCCTGGCCAACTGTACTATTCTCACTAGGTATTTTCTCAAGTATGCTATGTGCAAAAACATGGTAGTTGTATTTCCTTTCTTTGCTATTACTTTAGCTGATTTAAACGTTGGATTTATTTCCAATGTTATTTCCTACTGTAATTTAATTTTGGTAAGGTGTCTCTAGAGTGATTTAGTTTAAATCCAATCTTATGAGGTGTAATCTGTTTGAACTATACTTTTTAATAGTTTATCTCCTTCTTGCTTTTGGTGTCATTTTATTTTCATTCTATACTTAGAAACTGATACTGTCATTTTATTCCTTATTGCCTTGTTAATGAACCTTACTAAATTATTTTAATATGGTTTTGTGGATTATTACACAATTTGAAATTTTGCATATTTTCAACAATTCCATTCTAATTTTTTTTTTTAAATCCCCACAACTGGATCAATAAATAACATCAAGATAAATGGAGGAAAATTTGAATTTGTAAAAGACTTCATTTTGCTTGGATCCACACTCATGGAAACAGCAGTCAAGAAATCAGACGACATATTACATTAGGCAAATCTGCTGCACAACACCTCTTTAAAGTATTTAAGAGCAAAGATATCAGTTTGAGGACTAAGGTGTGCCTGACTCAAATCATGGTATTTTCAATAGCCTCGTATGCACGTGAGGAGCTCTGGTAGTGTAGTGGTTATGAATCAGGCTGTGAACCTTAAGGTCAGCAGTTTGAAACTACCAGCTGTTCCGCGGGACAAATATGAGGCTTTCTGCTCCCGTAAAAATTTACAGCCTCAGAAACCATATACATGGTTGCTATGAGTCCGAACCGACTCCACAGCATATAACCACCAACCACCACATATGCATGTGACAGTTGAGCAATAAATTAGGAAGACCCTAGAAGAATTGATGCATTTGAGTTATGGTGTTAGAGAATATTGAAAGTACTGTGGACTGCCAGAAGAACAAATTAGTCTGTGTTGGAAGAATTACAGTCACATTACTCCTTAGATATATTATTCAGTTTATTCTGATTTGTACTAAATTCTTTAATAGTGTCTAGCACTTAATGAGTGTTCATTAGTTATTTGTTAAATAAATGAATGTGTAGGAGAGAAATTATATTCTAAAAAACTAAATATGTGAAATACATTTTAGATTAAATGGTAAACTGACTTGTGTTGATAGAGAACAATCAATAATCAAGGGTTTTTCATCTCAATTTACTTCCCTCTTACTTTCCCATGTTATTTATTTATTAAGTTTTTATTGTGAATTAAGTGATAGTTTACATAGGAGAACATCAGTTTTACACTCATCCTATCATATTTCATTTCATTGCAATGGCTTTAAGCCTCTCCATGCATCATCATTCAGTATGGTTTTTTGTTTGTTTGTTTGTTTTTGGATGTGCACCAAAGCACTCAGGAATACATAATCATTCAAAAACACACGGCCCCTCTTCTCCATGAGTCTGGAGTCCCCAGCCGCTCCATCTCTCCATATCATCATCTCTGCCTCCACTTCTGGCATCGCTGCTTCTCTGGATAGGGTTCCACACTCCACTCTTCTCCTTTGATGGTCCCAGAGTCCTCTGCTCCTGGACTGCAAGATCAACCACTCCCTCCTTTTGTTACAAAACCTCTACCTCTACATTTGCATTTGTGACAATCAAAATCATTCCTGATAATACTGTGTTATTTATTTTTTTAAGGAAGTATCATATATGTATATATATTTTTTTAATTGGCCCTTTTGTGGGAGAGATGCAAACAGGAAAATCCTTCTTTTTTTTTTTTTTTTTCCTTCAGGCTATTTTCAGCAGTCATTAACAGAATTTTGTTTTGAGTTCAAATTCCACAAATAGTGGTTATAAGGTTCCATCTCTAAGAGTTCTAGTCTCATGAATTTTATTTAATTTGAATTTGTCCCTGAATATAAAAGGAGTATTTGGAAAATATAGGAAAAACATAAAGAAGATAATTACAAATATTCCTAATTCCAACAACAAAGAAAGCATGATCAGTTTTAATATATTTTAAATGAATTTTCCCTTTGAAAGTGAATTTAGCTCTTTCTTCACTTTAATACTCTTTGGAATACTCTACATTTTAGTCATGGTTTGATTTTAAATTAATTAAACAATTCCACATTAATATGTGTATTTTTATAATAAATGACTTAATTTGGTTAATTTATAGGTCAACTGTGTCTATTTCTGTGTATCTTTTACAGGTAAAGAAAACATAAGCACTCATCCGGTACATAAAATCAGAAAACCTTTAAGTAACAAGTGGGAGAGTCAGCTCTGGAGAGAAAAAAGGTTTAGCTTAATAGATCACCTCCATTATAGCCATGTTTATCCTGAAAGTATTCCACGGAGATTTATTTTAGAACACAATAAGTTTCTAACTCAGCAGTATAATTCTCAGTCTTCAAAATATGTACCACCAGAAGCAGGGTCTCCCAAACTTGAGGATTTTAAAAGCGCCTGCAGCCTTGGACATTTTGAAGTAACCATACTAGGTAAGTGAACCATTCTTCCATTTGAATAGTATTGATTTGACATACTGTAATATAGATGATAATGTCTTGCTTTAGAACATCAAGCCTAAATTGGGAGGCTTCTGTTTAGCTCAAACAAAAGAAATGGAGCACTAATTTGAGAAGAAATGAAGCTCCAATTGTGCACCTGACCCAGTATTTTCAGTAACCACATATGCATGTGAAAGTTGGATAGTGAATAAGGAAGACTGTAGAAGAATTGATACATTTGCGTTATGGTGTTGGAGAATATTAAAAGTACCATGGACTGCTAAAAGAACAAATGAATCTGCATTGGAAGAAGTACAGCCAGAATGTTCCTTGGAAGCCATAATGGCCAGACTTCGTCTCTCATACTTCAGACCTAGTGTCAGGAGGGACCAATCCCTGGAGAAGGACATCATGTTTGGTAAAGTTTAGGATCAGAGAAAAAGAGGAAGACCCTTCAACTAGATGACTTGGCACAATGGTAGCAGCAATGGGCTCAAATGTAGCAGTGACTGTGAGGTTGGCACAGGACTGGGCAGTGTTTCGTTCTGTTGTGCACAGGGTCACTATGAGTAGGTACCGACTCAATGGTACCCAACAACAAAAACAACAGTTAGATTATAGCAACGACAGCTTAACTCTGTCTTTTATTCTGTTCCATAAAAAAAATTATTTAACCACTAAATATTAAGCGCTTAGAGTCAGCACTGGACTGAGAACCACAAGATCAGCAATTCAAACCCACCTGCTCCTCAGAAACCCTATACAGGGTCACTATAAGTTGGAACCGACTAAATGGTACTTGACAACATAACAACGATCAAATGTCATTACTGTTTGTTGTTGTTGTTGTTAAGTGCTGTTGAGTCGATTCAGACCCATAGCGACCCTGTATAGGGTTTCTGAGGAGCAGCTGATGAGCTTGAACCGCTAACCTTGCAATTCAAATGGCTTTGCAGTCTGGTGCATTAACCCACAGCGCCACTCCAGGACTCCTTCATTTGTGTAACACACACTTTTCCCCCCAATTTTTTTTTTTTATCATATTTGAAAATCAGCACACATTTTACATGTGATGTCATGGCATTGCTTAGTTAGCAGCATTTTTCTTTCTTTCTTGTTGTTAAGTGCTTTGAAGTCAGTTCTGACTCTGATCCTATATAGGGTTTCTGAGGAGCATCTGGTGGGTTTGAACTACCAACCTTGCAGTTCCATAAATTCCTGAAGCTGTGATTTTCACCATTGCCTTCACTGCAGCTTGAGCTTCTTCCATCAATACCATTGATTCGTGCAATGGCTGAGTATCAATAAATTCTTTTGGGTATAGAGACTCTATTCCTTCCATCTTCTTTTTTTTTTAATGTTTTATTGTGAATTATATGATAGTATAGATGGGAGAACTTTAGTTTTGCATTCATTCCATCGTATAACGTCTCATTGCCATGGTTCCAATCCCCTCCATGCATCATCAACCACCCAAAGGGTATATCCCAGAAACCCGCCCCCTACACTTCCCCCTCCTCCCCCCAGTTTTCGACCCACAGTCCCTTTCCCTCTCTGGGTCCAAAGTCCCCAGTCGCTTCATCACTCCATGTTATCATCTCTGTCTCTATCTCAGGCATCTCTGTTTCTCTGGGTAGGGTCCCGCTCTCGGCTCTTCTCCGTTGATGGTCCCATAGACCTCCACTCCTATCCTGGAGAATTAATCACTCCCTTCCTTGTTACAAAACTTCTACCTTTGCATTTCCAACTCTCATAGTCCATCCTGATAAGCACTATTCACTACAGTATCACTAGTTACCCATCTGTATCTCCTTTCATCAGCTCCGCCCAGACAGATTGAATAGTACCTACTGGAGCTTCTGCCTTCCGCCATGCTCCCTAGCACCAGGTTCCCTCTTGAAAGTTTGTAAGCCAGTCACTTCTTGCCTTTGTAGTCCCCCCCTCCCCATTTGAGTATCCAATGTCCAGGCTGCCCTTCTCTATCCACTCTGTGTGTGGGTGTGGGTGTGTGAATGTTTATTGCTGTGAGGATTTGTTCCCTCTTTTGAGTCACTGTTCCATAGATATAGGTCAAGTTCATCAGACCATATCAGCTCACTCTTCCCCCCCCCCCCTCTTCTTTCCTCTCCTGGTTGAGCTCCGACCATCCAGTCATCCTGTCCAGGTCACGTGGGATGCATCCTGTGTCATTCAATATTTTGTCCATAGAATCCTTCAAAATTGCAACTCGAGGCTTGAATATTGTCTTCAGTTCTTTTACCTTGAGAAATGTTGAGCATGTTTTCCTCATTTGGTTTTCTAATTCCAGGTATTTGCACATTTCGTTATAATACTTTACTTTGTCTTTTCAAGAGGAAATTTTTATTCAGCTCTTTTATTCCATCATTTCTTCCAAGAGCAAGTTTCATAGTCTCTCTTCTGACAACCATATTGATCTTTTCTTTTTAATGACCTTTAGCTTTCTTCATGGTTGATGTCATTTCACTACTCCTCTGGTCATTAGTTTCTAATGCATCAAATCTATTCTTGAAATGTTTTCTAAATTCAGGTGAGATGTACCCAATGTCTTATTTTTCCTCTCTCCTGACTTGTTTTAGTTTTCTTCAGTTCAACCTGAGCTTGCATAGGAGCAATTGATGGTCTGTCCCACAGTCAGCTACTGGCCTTGTTTTGGCTGATGATATTGAGCTCCCCAAAATCTCTTTTTACAGATGTTATCAATTGTATTCCTATGTATTACATCTGGCAAGCTTAGCATGTAGAGTTGAATTTTATGTTGTTATGGAAAGGCATTCATAATGAATAAGTACTTTGTCTTGCAAGCTACTTCAGCTTCATTCCTGTCACCATATTTTTCCAATTACTGATCCTTCCTCTTAGTTTCCAACTTTCACATTCCAATCACCAGTAATTATCGATGCATCTTCATTGCATGTTTGATCAGTTTCACACTTCTCAGGTTGGTAGAATTCTTCCATTTCTTCATCATTGACTTTAGTGGTTGTTGCATAAATTTGAATAATAGTAGTATTAACTGGTCTTCTTTGTGAAGGTGTGGATTTTATCCTATCACAGACAGCCTTGTCCTTCAAGATAGATCTTGAAATGTTCTTTTTTATGATAAATGTGACACCATTCATCTTGAATTTGCCATTCCCAGCACATTAAGCCATATGATTGCCTGATTTAGAATTAGCAGTACTAATACAATTCACAAAAGCCTAGGATATTGATTTGTATGTGTTCCATTTCACTTTTGACAATTTCCAATTTTCTTAGGTTTGTACTTCATACATTTGACATTCTGATCATTATTGGGTGTTTGTAGCTGTTTCTCCTCATTTTGAGTTGTGTCCCATCAGCTTTACTCCATTCACATCATTATAGTCAACTCTACTTTGAGGAAGCATTTCTTCCTCACTTGTATTTTCAGTGCCTTCCAACCTGAGGGGATCATCTTCCAGTACTACATTTATTATTCACTATATCTTCTATAGAGTCCTTGTGTGGCGCTGTGGGTTAATGCACTGGACTACAAAGCAGTTTGAACTGCAAGGTCGGTGGTTCATGCTCACCATTCACTCCTCTGAAACCCTATACCGGGTTGCTATGGGTCAGAACCAATTCGACAGCACTTAACAACAGCATATCTTCTATTCAAAGTGTTTTCTGTGGCTAACTTTTCAGAATTGGTTCGTTTCTCCTTCTTCCTAATCTGTCTTATTCTGGAAACCTGTCCATAATGAGTGACCCTGAAGTGTTTGGCATTCTGGTAGGTAGCACAGCTTCTAGCATTACAGCAACATGCAAGCAACTGGTGAATGACAAACTGACATAGGAGTGATGGCACTCTTTCCTAGTACTATATGAAATTATGATCATCTTACAACTACTATCTTAGACTCAGTGAAATGTATATTCCAAGCACTGTGCTAGATTCTGGAATTCTAATTCTTACAACGTTTCATTAGAAAAGAAATTCAGTGATAACAGAATTGGGGAGGAAGTCATAAGGATTGCATATGACATACTTTGCAAGAGACGAATATGCATGTTTTTGTTTGATTTTATATTGCCCTATAAATTGGACTATAACCCAGGTATTTTATTATACATACCTTGATAGTACATTGTAAGCTATTTAAGTAAATACTGTAACAGCAAGTAAACATGAAAGTAAATTATACATGTGCATTGTAGGGGAAGTATTTTGTGTTCATATCTTTTGATAATGGAAATATGGAAGAATTCATATATGAACAGTAATGCATTCATATCTTAAAGTTTAGTATTAGAAAATTATAGATAAACATCCATCAAGGTACATTTATTTACTCAATTGAACAAATATTTACAAAGCATCACCTGTATGCCCAGCACTCTTCTGGATACTAGGGTTATATATTGTGAGCACAAAAGATAAAAATCCCTGCCCTAGAAGAGCTTATATAGGAGTGATATATTGTTATTTTTAAGTGTCATCGAGTCGGTTTCGACTCATAACAACCCTGTATAGGGTCTCTGAGGAGCAGATGGTGAGTTCAAACTGCCAACCTTGTGGTTCAGTGCTTACCCTACAGCATCACACCAGGACCCCATCTGTTAGATATGGTATCAGGTGCTAGTAAAAGGGGCTCTGGAGTACTATAGTAGAAAGATTAAACCTTACATAAAGTGGTCAGGGGAGGTATCCATGAGAAAATAACATTTTACCAGAAACCTGATGGAGTTGAAGAAGAAAACCATATGGTTATTTAGGGACAGAGCATTCTAGACACAGGAACAAGTACAGAGGACCTTAAGCCTACTTACACCACTCTTGTGGTGGTGGTTATATGCCATAGATTTGGTTCCAACTCATAGCAACCCTGTACAGGGTTTCCGAGGCTATAAATCTTTATGGGAGCAGAAAGCCTAATTTTTCTCCAGCAGAACAGCTGGTAGTTTCAAACTGCTGACCATGAGATTAACAGCCCAACTTGTAACCATTATGCTACAGAGCTCCTTACTGTAAACTCTAGTTTTAATCAAATAAGACAGAACACGTTTTATCAATAATGTTGAAGCCAAACTCACAGTATTTTATTATTTATATGTTGTTAAGTGTCATCGAGCAAGTTATGAATCATAGAGATATTGTTAAGGGTTTCCAAGGATGGCTGGTGGGTTTGAACCACCAATCTTGTTTTTAGCAGTTGGTGCTAATTCTACAGTGCCACAGCAAGACTTGACACCACAATAGCTACCTTCTTGAAAATATCAGAATTTCCAACTTCTGGTATAGTCTCAATTCTAAGGTATACTTCTGAATTCTAAGGCATGTTGGTGGCACTGTAGGATAAGCACTTTACTACTAGCCACAAAGTCAGCAGTTCAAACCCACCAGCCACTTCATGAGAAAAAGATGAGGCTTTCTTCTCTCGTAAAAATTTTACAGCCTCAGAAACCCTATACAAGGTCACTATGAGTCGGAACAGACACAACAGCACCGAACAACAACATAGGTATACTTAATTTTTCCAACATTTCCAAGTTGACATGAATCTTATAAACAATGGGTACATTTAATGCAATTTCCTTTTTATCAAAAATTGTTTTACTGCATTAATAGTATATCTGAGAGGTGTTTCTGAGGGACTTGGCTAGAACCTACGCACTCGGGGCAGGGGGAGGGTGTTGTAGGAGGACTAAGTGAGCAGAGGGGCCCAGATTTGGATTAGAACCCTATAGGGGTCGGCCTCACCATTTGTGAGTTGGAGAAAACCTGCTTTTGCCAAGTCAACTTGAGACATGTCTGACACAAGTGAGAGTGGTGCAGGTCTAACCCATTTCCAGGCTGAAGCTTCAGAAGAGGACAACAGCTTGGTGATTCGGACTCTGCTGGCAGTGACCCAGAACTTGGAGGTCTCAGAGGCATCTGAGGCCTCAAAGGAACCAGAGGTCTCAGAAGCCCTGAAGGTCTCTAATGTTCCAGGGGTTTCAAAGGCTATAGAGTTCTCAAAGGCCACAGGGGTCCCAAAGGCCACAGGGGTCCCAATGGCCACAGGAGTCTCAAAGGCCCAAGAGGCTCAGGAGGCAGCTGTCACCCAAGCCTCGCCTACCATTCAGCAGACTGATACCCAGGTTCTGAAAACTGGAAAAAGATCCCAGCAGTTGACACGAAGATACAGAATACTGACCCTGAGACAAAAAAGTCAAGTGTGTGGCTGATAACGACTCCAGGTTAATATAAAGGCCCAGAGATTGAGGCTTCTGCTTCTCAGGCTCCCACAGTTGAACCTGAGCCTGAGCATGCAGCTGCTGAGACTCAGTAGAATCAGGATGCCCGACCCAAGGTCAAGACTAAGAAAGCTCAAAAGGTAACGCACCTGAATGGGGAAGAAGATGGCAGTAGTGATCAGAGTCAGGCTGCTGGGACCACAGGTGGCCGAAGAGTCTCAAAGGCCCTGATGGCCTCAATGGCCCATAGGGCCTCAAGGGGCCCCATAGCCTTTTGGGCTTGCAGGGCATCAAGGACTCGGTTGGCTGCTTGGGTGTGGAGAGCCTTGGTATCCCTGAGGTCACTTAAGGCCTGTAGGGGCAAGGCTCGCCGCAGAGCTGTGAACTCCAATCTTCCCAAGAATCTGAAACACCACTGCCTTAGGATGTGGCCCTTTTGCAAGGGAGAGCAAATGATTTGGTGAAATACTTGCTGGGTAAAGACCAAACGAAAATCCTTATCAAGTACTCAGACATACTGAAGGACATCATCAAAGAATATACTGATGTGTACCTTGAAATCATTGAACAAGCAGGCTATTCCTTGGAGAAGGTATTTGGAATCCAGTTGAAGGAAATTGATAAGAATGACCACTTGTACATTCTTCTCAGCACCCTAGAACCCACTGATGCAGGCATACTGGGAACAACCAAGGACTCACCCAAATTGGGTCTCCTTATGGTGCTTCTTAGTATCATCTTCATGAATGGAAATCGGTCCAGTGAGGCTGTCATCTGGGAGGTACTGCACAAGTTAGGGCTGCGTCCAGGGGTGCATCACTTGCTCTTTGGGGATGTAAAGAAGCTCATTACTGGTTAATTTGTGAAGCAGAAGTATCTGGATTATGCCAGAGTCCCCAATAGCAATCCCCCTGAGTATGAGTTCTTCTGGGGCCTGCGTTCCTATTACGAGACCAACAAGATGAAAGTCCTCAAGTTTGCATGCAAGGTACAAAAGAAGGATCCCAAGGAATGGGCAGCTCAGTACCATGAAGCTATGGAAGCAGATTTGAAGGCTGCAGCTGAGGCTTCGAATGAAGCCAAGGCAAGAGTTGAGACTAGAGCCCGAATGGGTATTGGACTTGGCTCTGAGAATGCAGCAGGGTCCTGCAACAGGGATGAAGCTGATATTGGACCCTGGGCCAAAACCAAGATCCAAACAGGAGCTGAAGCTAAAACAAAAACCCAAGAGTGTGGTGGTACCAATGCTGGTGCCAGTGTAAGTACCAGCAGTGGCTTCAATGCCAGTTCAAGCCTGACTGCCACCCTCACATTTGGCTCTTTGCTGGCCTTAGTGGAGCTGGTACTAGTACCAAGAGCAACTCTGGTGCCTGAGGTTTCTCCTACAAGTGAAATGCCAAATATAGCTAATCCCAGCAGTTTTACTCTTCGAGCCAGGGTGTGTCCTCAGAAACCTACTCAACACAGCACTCTAGGCAGCCACTATCAATCAATTGAAGTTGACACGCTACATTAAATCTATTTGCTGTTAAAAAAAAAAAGTATATCTGAGAGTTGAATTTAGTCTTAGAATCAAGGAAATGATATTCCAGAGTGTACACATTCACATTAGTTTCACGTGTTATAATACTGAATTGAAATGAAACCAATGGCATGTATTGTTTTGAAACACATTTTTTTCCTAGGTGTAAAATTAGGATCAAGCCAGCAAAGTTGTCCTTATTAACATCATATACTAACCTACTGAACTCTCAATAAAGTGCATTTTTTCCTATAACAGGTCTGAACCATGAGATAGCAATCGATGCTGCATTCCTGCCCATGTATTGTCCTGAAGATGTCCAAACATCACAAATAGACACATTATTAACCTGCATGAATTACAGCTGTGTGTTTCCACCAGAAAAAACTGACAATGACAGAGCACTTGTAGGTAAGATGGTCTCAATGATAAGTTCACTGATTTTTCTTTTCATTTAGAAAATAAAATTTTAAAATATTGTAAGCACTCCTAACTTTAAGATTTTATTATGCAAATAGTTCTAGTCTTAAATGTAAACTTTTTAATTAAAGGATTCTTTATTAAACTTAACCCAAGAATTATAAGTAAGAATATAGTTTTAAAATAAATTGAGTAAATTATTTGAATTCCAGGGAGACTTTGAAAATGTCCCCTTACAGTGCAATTCTATTTGTATTTCATTAGACATAAGTGGTATGTACATGTTGTTGTTGTTAAGTGCCACTGAGTCTATTCCGACCCATAGCGATCCTGTATAGGTTTCCAAGGAGCAGCTGGTGAGCTTGGACCACTGACCTTGCAGTTCAGACAACTTTGCAGTCTGATGCATTAACCCATAGCGCCACACATGGAGCAGTGCAAAATCTACTCTTTTCTCTTTTTAACACAGACAGGCAAGATTTGCCTTTTTCCCTTATAATTCCAAGATCATAATATCTCCATGTTAGTCTTGTTGTTAAGTGCCATTTGATTGGTTTAGACTCACAGCGATCCTGTATAGGATTCCCAAGGAGCAGCTGGTGAGTTTGAACCACCAACCTAGCAGTTCAAACTGACCTTGAGGTCACGTGCTTATCCTATGGTGATCATAGTATAGTACAATTGTTTTCTCTTATAAATGTCTAGCTATTCAAGGACTATACAATAAATTCCCTAAGGATTACTAGGAGTGTGTGAAATCCCAGTAGTAGAATTCTTTAACCAACCAATTGTTTAGGCTGTTACACAAATATATATAAGTTTATATATACCTGTAACATTCTATATATGTCAAATTATACTTATCCTATTCAGTTTCTGTTTTTAGTTCCTAAGCACATGATAAAATTTCTAGCAGTTTTCATTGAGTTTATCAGATTACATTTAAAAAAGCTTTTAAGAAAGACTTTATTATCTTGGGATTTTGGGATGGGTCTTTGTAACCTAATGAAACTCTTGAGTATATGTTGTTTTTAAATCTTATGAGCTGTGGCTGATAATGAAGCAACTTTTGGCAGTAATGGTGACTGCAAGTGGAATTTGAGTACTCAGTTACATAATAAATAAATAAGGTTTTAAAATTTGCTCACAGTCTGCTTTAGAGATGATATATTAGTTGATTTGCAATATTATTTCCTACATTGAAGCTTGTTGTGGTTGTTGGTAAGTGCTGTCAAGTTAGTTCTGACTCATAGCGACCCTGTATGGGGATTCCCAGGCTGTAAATAATTTTGAGAGCAGAAAACCTCATCTTTCTCCTGCAGACTTACTGGTGAGCTAGAATTGCCTACCTTGTGGTTTGCAGTCCGGTGCTTAGCCTATGGAGAAGCTACTTAATTTCATAAATTGCAAATTCCTAATATATAGTTTAAGTATTTGTTCACACATCTTTCTTCATTTAGCATTCACTTCTGTCACATTTCTTCTGCTTTATGTATATGTCATTGATATAAAATACCAGGTAAACTTTCTTAATTACCTATTAGTTGCTAGTGCTAACATTCTTTCTGTAGTCGCTAGCATAGTCACTTGAAAAATACCTGGCACCATTCTGTCAAAGCAAATAATATTTGTTGCATGAAGGAGAAGTAGCACTACAGGAAAAAAAAGTAAAGTGGTAATGAAAACTTCATTATGAGTAGAATGCCATGTTTTTCATGACATAGCATTATTAATAATAACATAAGTTAGCTGTGTGCAAAATACTGTGCAAAATACATTATAGTGAATGCTGTAGGAGCTCTGGTAGCGTAGTGGTTATGAATTGGGCTGCGAACCACAAGGTCAGTAGTTCGAAACTATCAGCTGTTCCGTGGGAGAAAGAAGAGGTGTTCTGCTCCCGTAAAGATTTACAGCCTCGGATACCCTGTACAGGGTCGCTATGAGTCGGAACCGACTCCACGGCACATAACAACAACAACAACATAGTAAATGCTGGAGTCCTGGTGTGGTACTATGGGCTAATGCACTGAACTGCGAGGTAAGTTTGAACTGAAAGGTAGGTGGTTCAAGCTCCTCGGAAACCCTATATAGGTTCACTATGAGTCAGAGCCGACTCAACGGCACTTAAGCAGCAACAATAGTGAATGCTACAGGATGAACCTTGCAAGATGAACACTGTTGTCTCCTATTTTTAGATGATTACACTGGCGTCCTAGTGTGGTGCTGTAGGACAAGCACTGGAGTGCAAGGTCATTTGAATTGCAAGGTCTGCAGTTCAAACTCACCAGCTGCTCCTCAGAAACCCTATGCAGGGTCCCTATGAGTCGAAACTAACTTGATGGCACTTAACAATAACAACAACAAACTGAAAATCAGAGTGATTCACTACCATGGGTTAGTATTTGAAACCAGGTCCTGTCTGATTCCAACCTTTTCCATTTCTTCCATAACTTCAAAAGGTAAAAATATTCACAGAATGGTGTAACAAAATTCCTCATAATATTACATTGGTGTCATCTTTTAAAGACATCTTTATAAATTCGTTTGTTTTTATTTAAAAATACATACAAGCTCGTAACTTTAAAAATTCAAACAGTACAGAAAGGTATACAGTCAAAGTGTTTCCTCATTTGCCTTTCTAGGTCTAGCCCCCACGACTAACCCTCTCAAATGAGATTATTGTTGTTAAGTGCCATCGAGTCAGTTCCAACTCATAGCGACCCTGTATAGGGTTTCTGAGGTTTTAAATCTTTTTGGGAATAGAAAGTCTCATCTTTTTTCCTCAGAGAAGCTGTCAGGATAGTGGACTATTGGTTCTCTGTCCAGTGTTTATCATATGGAGCCACCTTGCTCCACTCACATGAGATAATCAATATTAATTTTCTTTGGAACCTCTTTAAATTATTTTTGTATATAACAGTATATATATTCACACACAAAATACATTAACATACAAATAGAATAATATTAAATAGATCGTTCCATGACTACAGTTTTTGTTTTGATAATATGTCTTGGGCATACTTCATGTAAGTATATAGAAAATTACCTCACTTTTTTTTTTTTTTTAATTTATATTGTGAATTGAGTAAAGGTTTACAGAACAAATCAGTTTTCTTTTTTTTTTTTTAACTACCTTCCCATATTAACACATTTTCCTTTGACCAATTCATATACATTTTGTTTCATATCATTGATTGCATTCTCTACAATGTAGCATAACTCATCCTACTTCCTCCCTGTGTTCCCTGATTCCATTCTACCATCTTTCCTAACCTTTCTGCCTTCTGAACTTTGAACTTGGTTAAGGATTTTAAGGAGTGCATACTTTCCTAATGTTATTGTTCATCTTATAGATCTGTCTATTGTTTGGCTGATAATTGAGCAAAGAGCTGAGTTTAGTTCCCGCCAGAATGGTGACTAAGGGCCCTAGTCTCACGGGCTCTACTAGTCTCTATCCAACCAATAACTTCATTCTTTTTCATCACTACAAAGTTATTTCACTGTGAATATACCAAACTGTTTTTAACCAATCTTCTACTGATGAATATTTAGAGTGTTTCAAAATGTTTATGGTAATTTGAAAACAACATTGTTATGAGTGTCCTTATACATAGGAGAGTAAGCCGAAACAACTATTGCTATGAGGGTTCCCATTCATACACCCATGGGTTTATTACACACACACAAAGTGTTTAAACATGTCTCTGCAATCAGTGGATAACTACAGACAAGTGCTCTCAGCACTATACTTCTCTTAGTCTCATTAAGGTGCCTTCAAAAATAAGATGATCCTATCAAAACAGTGGCTTCCAAGGGCATCTGTTGGGCTAGTTAAATTCAAGACAGAGAGATCAGCTCAGAATGCTATGGCAACTGTTTTGTTGGACTCCAAACTGGCAATCTTGCTAGACTACCACTCATTTGTCAGTTTGTCATACTGTGGTGGCTCACATATTGCTTTGATGCTGAAAGCTATGCCACCTGTATTTTAAATACCAGCAGGGTAACCCATGGTGGATAGGTTTCACCTGAGTTTCCAAACTAAGATAGACTAGGAAGAAGGATAGGCAGACTACTTCTGAATGTTTAGCCTTGAAAACCTTATGAGTAGCAGGGAAACACTGTCAGATATAATGTCAGAAAATGAAAACATTATGAATAGCACCAGAATAGTGTCAGACATTGTGCCAGAACATGAGCCCCTCAGGTTGGAAGACATTCAAAATATAACTGGGGAAGAGCTGTCTCATCAAAGTGAAGTTGAATGTGATAACGCGAATGGAGTAAAATTTTCAGGTCATTCATTTGCTGCAGGGCACAGTTCAAACTAAGGAATGTGGACTATATGAAATATAAATCTAGGAAAATCAGAAGTTGTCAAAAATGAAATGGAACACATAAAGATTGATATCCTAGGCATTAGTGAGCTGAAATGAACTGGTATTGACCATTTTGAGTCTGACAAAATCATATGGTTTACTATGCTGGGAATGACAAACTGAAAATAAATGGTGTCACATTCATCATCAGAAAGAACATTTCAAGATCTGTCTTAAAGTACAATGCTGTCTGTGATAGATATCCATATGCCTACAAGGAAGACCAGTTAATATCACTATTTTCCAAATTTACACACGAACCACTAAAGCCAGTCATGATGAAATTGAAGAATTCTACCAACTTCTTTACTGTGAAAATGATCAAGCATATAATCAAGATGTATTGATAATTACTGGTCTTTGGAATGTAAAGGTTGGAAACAAAAGGAGAGCTCAGTAGTTGGAAAATATGGCCTTTGTGATATAAATATGTGTGCCAGAGTTATATTCTTTCATTATATTTATTCAATCTGTATGCTAGTAAATAGTCTGCTAAACTGGATTATATGAAGAAGAATGTGGCATCAAGATTGAAGAAGACTCATTAACAACCTGCAATATGCAGATGACACAATCTTGCTTGCTAAAAGCAAAGAAGACCTGAAGCGCTTTCTGATGAACATCAAAGACTACAGCCTTCACTGTGGATTACACCTCAAAGTAAAGAAAATAAAATTCCTCACAAAGGGATCAATAAACAGCATCATAATTAATGAAGTAAACATAGAAAAGATTTAAATTGTCAAAGATTTAATTTTTCTTGGATTCATAATGAATGCTCACGGAAGCAGCAGTCAAGTAATCAAATGACATATGGCATTGGGAAAATCGGCTGCAAAAGACCTCTTCAAGGTGTTAATGTGTAAAGATGTCACTTGGAGAACTAAGATGCACCTAACCCAAGCTATGGTATTTTCAGTCACCTCATATGCATGTTAACACTGGGCAATGAACAGAGAAGAACTGATGTATTTGAATTATGGTATTGGGGAGTAATACAGAAAGTACCATGGACTGCCAGAAGAATAAATATTCCTTGGAGGTGATACAGCCTAAGTGCTCCTTAAAAGTGAGAATGGTAAGATTTTGTCTCTTGTACGTTGGACACCTTATTAGGAGGGACCAGTCCCTGGTAAAGGACATCATGCTTGGTTACATAGCTGGTCGGCAAAAGAGTGGAAGATTCCCATGAGATGGATTGACACAATGGCAGCAACAATGGGCTCAAACATAACAACAATTGTAAGTATGGCACAGGACTGGGCAGTGTTCATTCTCTTGTACATAGGGTCAATGAGTCAGAACTGACTCAATAGCATCTAACAACAACAGTCATGTGTGTGGTATTTTTGAATCTCTTGTATCTGCAAGAACTTTTAAAAGACATGATTCCTCCATGTTTCTCCATTCCCAATCTCCTTCTTAGGCTTTTTGACCTATCTGTTGTTTCTCCCAACTTTATACTTTGTCCTAGATGTCCTGGCCAATATTTACACCATTGAATACATTCTGCAAAAACCATCTCTGAAGTTCCAAGTTAGATTTTTTTTTTTTTTTAAAGAATCCTTGCATCAGTTCTTTAGGGAGCCAGCAAACAAGTCAAAACACACAGCCACAGTTGTTTAAGAACAGAGCTTGCATTGTTTCCTCTGGTAGTACTTCTTCCAAGACAGATTTGTTTGTTCTTCTAGCAGTCCGTGGTATGTTTAATATTCTTCTCCAACACCATAACTCAAATGCATCTATTCTGCTGTCTTCCTAATCTACTGTCCAACTTTCACATGTGTACTAAGATATTGAAAATATCATGGCTTGTTTCAGGTGCACCTTAGTCCTCAAACTTACACCTTTGATCTTGAACACTTTAGGTAAATATGTAGATTTACTCAACTCGAGTTAAAAAAAAAAAAAACTAAATATACCTTTGGATTGCCAGCCCATGTCTTGAAATTATTGGTGGTATCTGTTTGATGTGTTCACCTTTATGAAGTTACTAGAACTTAACTTTGGTGTGAAGAATTAGAAGAAAAAGGGAAGAGATAAGGGATAATGTTAATATTGTAAGAAACATTTCATCAGTTTATGTGATGCAAAATGCAAGTAAATATTTAACTGTTTTTCAATACTTATCATCTTTTTTTGGTGTTTTTTTTTTTGTTGTTTTTTTTTTTTTTAGGTGATATTATGAAAGCAGTATCTAAATTGAATAGAGAACATGTCATCGGTATCTTGGATATCTGTAATTTGGGTGACAATAAAATAGAAGTCTGTTTGCAGAAAATTTATACTCCAAAGAATATCTGTTAAAAGTTGGCAAAGGAAATTATTACAACCTGTAAAGGGAACACTGCTTTGAAAGTATTGTGTCATTTTGTTGATAATTTCAGTAAAAATAATCTGAGCACTAAAGTTATTAAATGATTTTATGTTTATCTTGTATTTGGTGCTAACACACGTCATTGTAGATTCAGTATTGAAAATGTCATCAAAACACAATTTTTGTGTATCAAGAAAGTTTACTTTTCTTCTATATGACTATTGTCTTGACTTTGATTATTTCATGTTTGCTGTCCCTTTTGTGAAATGATGTACTTTTATCCTAAAGCTTCAGCATAAAGCATCCTGATTTTCAAGAACAAATTTTCATGGATATGTAATATTCTTCCAAATTTAATCACATATAATGAAAAATTTAAATTGCCAACTTAAAGATTATATTCTCCTAAGGTAGTCAATATGCATTTCTCACAAGCAAAGTATATTCTATCATTTTCAAAGGCACATATTGCTATAGTCCAATTGCCCTTGGTCTTTAGCTTGGTCACCTACAAAATGAGTGTGTTGAATTAAGTTATGTGTTAACATTTTTTTCCAACTCCTATACTAACTTAATTAGTCCTGGTTTGGTGCTGTGGGTTAATGCGCTGGACTTCAAAGTCAGTTTGAGCCACAAAATTGGCGGTTCAAGCTCACCAACCACTCCTTGGAAACCATATACAGGGTCGCTATGGGGCGGACCCGACTTGGCAACACTTAACAACAACAATACTAACTTCATATGGTTTGAACTTTTAAACATTCTGTTCAGTGCATGATGTTAAAGCCAGAATCTGTAATATGTTTATATTCTTGCTGTATTTGCTTGTAGCTTTGGTATATGTAATATTAGTTTAAATAATTGAAGTCTATCTCATATTAACATTTTAAGTGTTCGTATTGAAAGTAGAAAATAATAAGGCAATTGATTTTATTATTGTTTACTATGAGACTTCATATTGACTGTAAGTAGCCATTCAATATTTGGGGCATTGTGGTTGACATCTGTGTGATTAGCTAGATTAACCAATATAACCATCATATGAGTTTCAAAAGCATTCTATATCACAATGAATCTTACTGCAATTAAGCTTTTAGGGATTCCTTTCAACCTTGTTCTGTGACTTTATATACTATACATTTCACATGTGTTGGACAGCTCATGAAACTAAAGCAGATGCTAGATTTGATCATAAATGCATTCAATCTTTTGTTCTTCATAACTATGTTTAAAGTTAATTAAAATAGTGGCTCCTTGTGTTAAATTTTGAGTGTATTATTAAAGAAATTAAAATGTCATAACTTTTTTTGGTCTGTTGTCTCATTTTGAATGTATTTCTGTGGCCTCTCCATATTTTTTTTTACCTAGGATAGATCTACATGTACTTGCTAGGTAAGCCAAGATGACTCTTCCATATGAAATTGAAGGCTGTTATTTATCTAACTGAATCTGGGTTTTTGTGTTAAGGTATTATAAATTTTAAATGACATTTCAAATTTAGTTCCAAATAGATGTTGGGAAAGGAAAAAAAAATAATACTTAACAGGTAACTATTGAATGGAAACCTTAGGCTAAGATTTCAAAACTACACATTTTCACAGGTATGATTTCTGCTCTCATATTGAATGAGAAATATGAATGATTTAAACATATTCAAGAGTTCTATAAACATCTTCCCTAGAAAATTATTTTATGTTCTGGTAACATTGCCATCCAAATTTGGAGTTAAAAATATGATCGTTGCCAAACTGGGTAGGTATTATCTTTAAGTATTAATATGTGTTTAATAAGTCTAAAGCAGCACAAATATGCTACTGTGATGTCACCATATTATCAGTGATTAAATTATGAAATATTTTATATAGTCTACTTGAACACCACAGTCTTTCACTGAAAGGTTTCTAATTTTAAGTGGCCATGAGACATACACATTAAAATCTTTGGGTAAGCTATTAAAGGAAAAATTGGAACACATGTTCACTCTGACAATTAGTTTTTATTTCTATGCTGAAACTATCCTGCATTAATTTTAATCATATTAACAAAAGAATTTTTAAGGAATTTGAAGTCCTTATCTGATAATGTTAACAATATTATTTTATATTATAAGCTAAATACTTTTTGTCCATATGTTGTTGTTGTTAAGTGCAGTGGATTAGAGGAAGATTCATTAACAACCCATGTGATATGCAGATGATACAACCTTGCTTGATGGAAGCTAGTTGTTGTTAGGTGCCATCGAATCACTACAAACTCATAACAACATTATGTACAACGGTTCTGACTTATTATAGTGCCTCTGTATAGGGTTTCTAAGGCTTTAAATCTTGGCAGGAGCAGAAAGCCTTATCTTTCTCCGTAAAAGCGGCTGGTGGCTTGAACTGTGGAGCCTGTGATTCACAGTTCAGTGATTATTGAATGGAGCCACCGCACTACCTTTGTTAATATGTTGTTCTTGTTAACTGCCTTGAGTCTGTTTCTGACACACAGCAATCCTGTATAGGGTTTTCATGGAGCGGCCAGTTTAGTATGTATCCTACAGCAACACACCAGGATTCCTTTGTTAATATTTTGTTAAGTGCCGTTGAGTCGGTTCCGAACCATAGCAACCCTGTATGGGTTTCCAAGAAACAGCTGGTGAGCTTGAACCACCGACCTTGCAGTATGTTGTTGTTGTCAGGTGCCATCGAGTCGGTACCAACCCATAGCGACCTTATGCAAACAGAACGAAACACTGCCTAATCCTGAGCCAACCTCACTCCTGTTGCCACACTTGAGTCCATTGATGCTGCCACTTGGCCAATCCATCTCATTGGGGGTCTTCTCTTTTTCTTTGACCCTCCACCTTACCAAACATGATATCCTTCTCCAGTGACTGGTCCCTCCTGACAATATGTCCAAAGTATGAGAGACGAAGTTTGGCCATCTTGGTATCACCAAAATGGATCTATTGGTTCTTTTGGCAGCCCATGGCACTTTTAATATTCTTATCCAACACCATAACTCAAAAGCATCAATTCTTCTACAGTCTTCCTTATTCACTGTACAGCTTTCACATGCATATGAGGTTATTGAAAATACCATGGCTTGGGTCAGGCGCATCTTAGTCCTCAAGCTGACATCTTTGCTCTTCAACACTTTAAAAAGGTCTTGTGCAGCACATTTGCCTAATGCAATATGTCGTATGATTTCTTGACTGCAGCTTCCATGAGTGTTGATAGTTGATCCAAGAAGAACGAAGTCCTTGATAATTTTAATCTTTTCTCCATTGATAAGAATGTTGTTTATTGGTCCAGTGGTGAGTATTTTTGTTTTCTTTACATTGAGATGTAATCTGGCATTTTATTTCTAAACGTATTGGAGGGTCAGAGAAAAGGAGGAAGGCCCACAAGGAGATGTATTGGTACAGTAGCAGCAGCAATGGGCTCCATCATAGCAATGATTATGAGGTTGACAAAGGATTGGGTAGTGTTTTGTTCTGTTTTGCATAAGGTTGTTATGAGTTTGTAGTGATTCGACGGCACCTAACAACAATAACTAGCTTCCATCAAGCAAAGTTGTATCGTCTGCATATCACATGGGTTGTTAATGAGTCTTCCTTTAATCCTGATGCCATGTTTTTCTTCATATAATCCAGATCCTCAGATTATTTACTCAGCATGCAAATTGAATATGTATAGTGAAAGTATACAACCCTGGCACACATCTTTACTGATTTCAAGTTGAATTGAATGCCCCTTGTTCTGTTCGAACATAGGCATCTTGGTCTATGTACAGGTTACACATGAATACAATTAAATGTTCCAGAATACTCATTCTCCATAATACTGTCCATAGCTGTCATGATCCACACATAGTAAATAAAATACAGATAAACATCTTCCTGGTATTCTCAGCTTTGAGTTAAGATCTATCTGACATCAACAATGATATCCTTCACTCCATGTCCTTGGATGAAGCCAGCTTGAGCCACTGTATTGTTGCATCCATTTACCAAATATCTTCAGCAAAAATTTACTTGCAAGTGCTATTAATGATATTGTCCTATGATTTCCACATTCTGTTATGTCTTTCTGGAATGGGCACAACTACAGTTCTCTTTCAATCAATTTGCCAAATTTCTTGGCATAGATGAGTGAGTGCCTCCAGTGCTGCTTCAGTTTGTTGAAAGATTTCAAATTATATTCCATCAATTCCCAGAGCCTTGTTCTTTGCCAATGCCATCAGTGTACCTGGGACTTCTTCCTTCAGTACCATTGGCTCTAGATCATATACTTTCTCTTGAAATTTGAAATGGTTGAACACTGACCACTTATATTCAGTACATTGACTCTGTGTATTTAATCTTTTTTTTTTTTTTTTTTTTTTTTTGGTGCTTTCTGCATCATTTAATATTTTGCCCAAAGAATCCTTCAGTATTGTAAGTTGAGGCTCAATTTTTGTCTTCAGTTTTTACAGCTAAAGAAATGATGAGCATGTTCTTCCCTTTTAGTTTTCTAACTCCAGATCTTTGCACATTTCACCATTATATTTGACTTTGTCTTCTCAAGCTGCCCTTTGAAATTTTCTATTCAGCTCTTTTACCTCATTTCTTTCATTTGCTTCAACATCTCTACGCTGGAGAACAAGTTTCAGAGTCTCTTTTGACATATATTTTGGTCTTTTTTTTTTTTTTTCTTCTTCTTCCTTGTCTTCTTAATGACCTTTCCTGTATAATGTTCTTGATGTCATCCCACAATTCTTCTGGTTTTCAGTCATTAGTGGCAGTCATCAAATGTGTCAATAGCATTTGACAGTCATCAAATCTGTTCTTGAGATGATCTCTAAATTCAGATGGGATATATTCAAGGTCATATTTTGCCTCTTGTGGACTTGTTTTCATTTTCTTCAGCTTTAGCCTGAAATTGCGTATGAGCAATTGATAGTCTGTTCCACAGTCTGCCTTGGTCTTGTTTTGACTGATGATATGGAGCTTTTCCACCATCTCTTT